GAAAACGGAATATGGAGATCCAGGTACAACCACGAACTCTACCAACTGTTCAAAGAGACACCGATCTCAGAATTCGTTAAAATTCAGAGACTTCGCTGGCCTGGTCATGTAGTAAGAATGGAGACAGAAAGATTGCCGAAAAGAGTCCTAGATAGTAAAATGCAGGGCTCAAGACCAAAAGGAAGTCCACGGAAAAGATGGGAGGATAAAGTGGCAGCGGACTTGCAAAATTTGCTAGACGTGAGAACCTGGAGAAGATCGGCGCGGGACCGACAAGGTTGGAGGCATAGTTTGGAGGAAGCCAAGGTCCGATTTGGGCTGTAGCGCCATTGGAGAGAGAAAGGTAGCGGCATAATTATGAATTTGATAAAGAAAGGTCAGCAGTGTTCTAGATAACTAACCCCTGCTACAATTCTGATAGCTTTCTTTTTCATTTTAAAAATTTAAAGTGCATTTGTTGAATTTCCCATATGATTAAACCATAGTTTAGGTAAGAGTGGAATAAAGAAAAATATGTCATGTTTAATGGTTCAAAGTTGACAACCCTTGCTAGTTGGCGAATAACAAATAATGAACTTGATAGCTTTTTCTTTAGTTGTGAGATATGAGCTGACCAGTTCACTCGATTATCTATGGATATTCCCAATAGTATAACAGTATCTTTGTTATCTGGATCATTGTGTAAATTACTTGCAGATATAACCAAATTGTGTGTTTTAACAGAGTTAAGTTTTAGTTTGTTTGCAGCAAACCATGAGAAACTTCCTCATGAGAAATTTTTAAATCATCATTATGTTTTCCTGTTATAAAGTATGTCGTATCATCTGCGAATTGTATGGATTTATACGGAGATATTAAATCGTTTAGGCAAATCGTTAACATAAATAATAAACAAAAGAGGTTCTAAGACCGAACCTTGTGGGACTCGATATGTCTTGTCAGTCTATATGACTGTCGATATGTCAGCGGGAGTCTTTGAAGGACTGATATTTTACGGATAGAAAATCGGAGAAATGACCTTTAGATACTACCGACTGGTGTCTGCCACATAGATAAGAAGTTATAAGCTTAAGAGGGATACCTCTGGTTCCAGAATAATTTAATTTGTGGAGCAAAATGTCGTGTGAAAGGCAAACAAAAGTCTTCGACAAGTCGCAAGGAGAAACTACTATGCGATTGGCGTGTTCAAGCCCCTCAATCACCTCATTCACAACATTAATTATTTGACTCAGAATAGGAATAACATTATTGTTTAATAACCTTTTCAATCACTTTACCAAAAGTACTTCTGGAAATACTCCAGTTGATAGAATTAAATTAATAAGATGACTGAAAAAGGTATTAAAACCATTTAGTAAGTTTAGTAAGAGTTTTAGTAAGAGACTTTGTTATTTGAGAGACCTCTTCTTCCACAACGGGACGAAAAATAAAGGACTTTTTAATAGCGGGAAGAGATGTAATTATATTTCTCATCAATTGTAGTAAAAAATTAATTTATTTCGTCTGGAGGTAGATCAGGTTGTACCGAACTGGATCTTGTGTTGTTTCTTTCCAAGTTTACTATTTTCCAGTAGTCTCTAGGTTTATTATTGGAATTAGTGATAAAATCACAGTAGCTGACTTTTTAGCAATTTGTAATTACCGATTATATTCAAATTTTTGTTGTTTATATACTTTGAACAAATCGGGATCCTTGGTGGAATCTGCAATGTGTTTAATAAGAGAAAGATTAGATTTGTAAGAACTTAATTCATTATTAAACCATTACGGGTGTTTTTTCAGAAGTTTGTCGTACTTTTTGTTAGTGAAAAATGGTTAATATTAAGTTGTTATAAGTTTCGGTAAGAAAGACTCAAAAAATATGGATCATTATTAATATCATAGAAAAAGTCCAGTTCTGCAAACCAGAAGAAGTAATAAACCGTTGAAATGTTTGATTAGTGTAACAACTTTATGCTCAGAGTCAATAAATAAAAATTGAGCTCGATGGTCAGAAAAACAAGGCTAAAATATGCCCACTCTGTATATTTAAAAAAAAATTGTCATAATGTTGTCGATGCAACCACTGGACTGGGATGTGATTATAGTATAATCGTCTATATGTAATTACTTTTAGACGAAACGATGTTAATAGATTTTGAATATGAAAAGAAGGGTCAGATTTAATTTTAAAATTTATATTAAAATTACCACGTATGATCAGACTGCTTTACTAAGCAAGGACGTTATGACATTCTCAAAGTTTACCAAAAACAAGTCAAAGTCAGCCTTACCCAGATCTGTATACAGTTAAAATATTGGTATTTATTGAGGTATATAAATTGCACAAAACTCTGAACTTTGCTCTACATTATATTCATTTAGATTAAGAGAAGAATACATAAGATTTTCTTTTACATAAATTGCATATATATACATATATGTATAGTAAACTCTTAAATATTGGGGAAATCTGCAAGAAAAACTCTAATGTGTATCAATTGTTTCGCCGAACGTTTTCGCCAAAGTGAGTTAATTTGGCTTCTTCGGGGCTGAAAGAGAATAAATTATAATTAGCTACCATATATTATCTAATAAAAAACATTTACCTTACCCTAAATTTTAGAAATGTCGAGTTATGATGTTAAAAAACTTAGCTAGTAACAACATAGTGGTGTTTTTTTGTTACTATGTGCAGAAAAGTTTTTTTGTTAACGTTGGAAATGTATGGTAGCTTTGAACTTAAAACGCAAAGGTTTACCCAAGGTTAATCGAAAAACCCAATGTAACTACATTAAAGGAAGTAATTCTTTGAATTATCGGCAATAACTAAATTTTTGATTGTTATAAAGTTTGAATGTGAGGTTCTGTTTTCATAGAACGCAAGCGCTGACAATTACCATCCGTCCCCTTTCTCGACATAAGGATGATTAGGGAAAACAACAACATTAAAGATTGGTATCAAAAATCGACCCATTCTGGTAGATACCTTAACTACCACTTTTACCATAATAACTCTGCCAAAGTCAACTTAATCAAACAGATGAAAAATAGAGTAATTAAACTATCAGATCCTTCATTTCATACAAAAAACCTACAAATCCTTCAGAAACTTTTTATTTCAAACTCGTATCCAACACCATTAGTAAATAAGATTTTGTTTAATACTATCCATAATGAAGATACTTCACCTTCCATCGTGACTAACAATGCTGATCCTGATGTCTTAAGTGGAACCCAGTCTCGGATACTCCTATCAATAAATATTTTTCATTACCCTATTTCAGAGATATCACTCCGGGGTTAACAAGGATTCTAAAACGTGTTGAAAATAGCTTTGGGAATAATAATAATAACATTAAACTAAATGTGGCTTGTAGATCAGCCCTAACAATTAATAATCTTTATTCGAAGATAAAAGATAAGACTCCCATAGATAGGCTTAGTAATATTGTCTACAACATTCCATGCCTCTCTTGCAGCAATTCCTACATCGGCCAAACATCTCAATTATTGAAATCACGTATTACACTACACAAAAGTGATTCTCGACTTCACCCTGACCGCTGTGCATTAGCCAAACATGTCCATTCCACTGGTCATCACATGGAATATACGAACACTACAATTCTCCACCGAGAGAACAATAAATCTGAAAGAGAGTTCATTGAAATGTCTTATATTTTCCTTAACGATTTTTCCATCAATGTTAAGAGTGACATTAAGAATCTAAGCGATATATACCACTTCTTACTTAAATCAGATACCAAGAACAATACATCACAGATAACTAAGTTGACTGATATATCTATTAACAACTAATCTACTTTAATAATAATTTTCATTCACTAAAAAAGATAACATTCCCTTGCTTTTCTTAGATACATCTCAATAAGATATTATAATAATACATGAACAATATACTAATTAAAAAGAATTTCAATTACGAAAATTCTAAACTAATATCTCCCCAGACTGGGATTTAACTTCATCGGTTTTACCAATGAACCTTAACGACATAAATATTCAAATGACCTACTTGTAATTGTCAGCGCTTGCGTTCTATGAAAACAGAACCTCACATTCAAACTTTATAACAATCAAAAATTTAGTTATTGTCGACAATTCAAAGAATTACTTCCTTTAAATGTAGTTACATTGGGTTTTTTGATTAACCTTGGGTAAACCTTTGCGTTTTAAGTTCAAAGCTACCATACATTTCCAACGTTAACAAAAAAACTTTTTTGCACATAGTAACAAAAAAACACCACTATGTTGTTACTAGCTAAGTTTTTTAACATCATAACTCGACATTTCTAAAATTTACGGTAAGTAAATGTTTTTTATTAGATAATATATGGTAGCTAATTATAATTTATTCTCTTTCAGCCCTGAAGAAGCCAAATTAATTCTCTTTGGCGAAAACGTTCGGCTAAACAATTGATACACATTAGAGTTTTTCTTGCAGATTTCCCCAATATTTAAGAGTTTACTATTTAACTTATCTGCAAACATATATGCATATCTATACATATATGCATATCTATACATATATGTCAATGATAGAATGAGATCGTTAGTATTTGGTATATCATGTACAGTAATTTGGATGGATAATAATAGGGTACAATTTCTTACCACTTTTTTGTGAAATTTTGTCAAAGGCGTCTTCGTAGATGTGAGTTCTTCTTATGGCTACTACATTTTCATGCATCAGATCGTGGTGCAGTCTTTGATAATCGTCCTCTCCTAAACTGTTCCTACATAAATCTCTGAGCAATAAAAATCGTGTGTTGAAATTAACTAAAAACGGAAGCTCTTCTAGTATCGCCAAGGAACGTTGTTCGATTGTAGACAGAGGTGGCAAATGTTCGTCTTCTACAAAATATTTGAGTCAAATATAAATTTCAAAATAAAAGGACTACAATGATCAAAAATCTCTAAAAAAACATTTTTACTCTTACAAAACTTTTTCTGTATCATATTCATACCTTCATTGCGGGCTCCATAAAACGACGATATTTTCTTCGATAAATAGTCCTTCCGAGCCAGATCGGGCGGTATATGCATCTTATCGCTGGTCCAAAATCCACTTGGACAAAACTTTTTCCGCAAGTCCAATGTGTATAGCATACGGACGCAGTTCAGACAGGCCCTGTACAAATGTTGGACTTCCGGCGTTGATGGAATTGAGCTAGAACGACACATAGGAAATGCTACTTCGATCAATCCTCTGGCTACATTCTTCAGCAATTTTGACATTGATAATAGGTCGTTTTGCGTGAATGTGTGGCTTGTATCTGAGGTTTCTACAGAAAAACAGATATGTAAGTAAGTTAAATAATGAATACCTTCATTTTTAAATGTTTTAAAATATTTGGTATATCTGGGGGACTTTGGGGATCACTATTGATTGCATTCTAACAGAATGTATTTTTGAGTAATTCGTTTACTTATTCTTTATAGGAAGTGGTGACAGTAGCGTTAACTTTGTCTACTGGAAGGGTTAGTAACTCAGACTATTTCCCCACCGAAGAAAATTGGAGTACTTTGCCCACGTGATGAGAAATCCTAAATATGAACTGCAACATGATTATAATTATTAATGGAGAAATAGAAGAGAAATGCATTCTTAATTCATTAAACCTTATCGTTACATTTTTGTCTCAGTTTTGTGCAACAGGTCGAGGTGAACACAGAACAATTACCTCTCATTTAAAAACTTTTTTCGAAGTAAAATTATGACTGCAAATAATCTGAATGTAGTGAAAACATTTTTTTATGAGTGGCTTAGAGCTTCAAGTTTCACTATATATTGAAATTGTTAGAAAACAAGTATTTTAAGTGTGCTTTAGAAGGGAAAATAAAAAGGGTTCCTAAGGGACCCCTTGCCGGTTTATGTCAAGTTTCGTCTCACTTGGACACAAATCCAAGAACTTATGGACTCTGTTGAAACGGATTCATCAGAAGGTGATTATAGCAATGATGATCCAGACATCGACCCAGATTACGAGCCGGATGAGATCGCTCCAGATGACATGATTACAGAGTGTATCCGTGAAATGCAAGCAGGTGAAACAAACGACTACTTTATTCAAAACGTGAACATGTTGCTAAATATCAGTGACATAGAAGCACCTGCTGCATCATCAACAATGACAACGGCGGGCGGTGCAAATCGAAGCTGACGAATGTGTCTAATCTTTAAAAAAGGAGGAGGTTGGGCCGTCTACATCTATGAAAGTAATTCCATCTACTTCAGCCGACTATGCCACACATGCTGCAAGATTTAAGCCAACGAAACGACCCCGTTCGCTATTACCTATAATAGAAGATTCTGGTCCTTTCATCACGCCTTCTGTCGGTGGTTTTACTGGGAGAGGTAATAATCAACAACATAACAACATAACGTCAAAAAAACCAAATGTATGACCTTCAGTAAGAATCCAATAGATGGCACTAGTATCGCAATCAACGGTACCCAACTCGAAAAAGTAAGCGAATACAAATAGATGAGAACCCTCATCAATAATACAGGTGACCAAAATCACGAGATAAAAGACGTATTGAAATTGCCAGGTCTACCTTTATAAAAATGAAAAAAATATTTTGTAATCGTGAGATTAGTATTCATCTACGAACTAGAATCTTAAAATGCTACGCATTCAGTACTTTGCTTTACGGTGTTGATGCACGGACTGTTAAACGTGGACACAGGAGTGTTAGAAATCTTAAAAGCTTTGAGATGTGGTGCTACCGCCGTATACTGAAAATAAGTCGGGTGGATAAAATTACAAAAGAAGAGGTAATACGCAGATAAAATAACGATCCAGAAGTTATACTGGATATAAAAAAGAGAAAACTTGAATACTGAGGCCACCTGATGAGAGGACAAAAGTACACATTCCTACAAAATATAATGCAAGGAAAAATCCAAGGACGCAGAAATCCAGGCCGTAGAATAATGTCCTGGATGAGAAATTTAAGAGAGTGGTTTGGCTGTACCACTAACGAATTATTAAAAACAGCTGTAAATAAAATTAGAATCGCCCTAATGATATGCAATCTCCGATAGGAGAGGCACTCAAAGAAGAAGAAGATGAACATGTCGATTTATCGATACCCTAATCTCGAGAGCTACTACAGCAAAAACGCGTTCGCCCCCATCCAGAAGACAATGCCTGTAAAAAAGTTTATGGAAATAAAGAAATACTTATCGTTTCAAGATGAAGTGCACCGCATTCGAAATTAGCTGATAAGGTCAACAATAGTTTCGATTCGATTCCAAAGACGGCTAAATTGTGTGTTGATGAGCAGATAAGTTCGACCAAACTCAAGCATCGTCTTCGTCAATTTATGCCAAATAAGCCCCACAAATGGAGCATCAAACTATTTGTGCTTCGTGATTATCAAGGTTACGCATATCGTTTTGAAATTTACAACGGTGTAGGCGACTTCAAATTTGAAAAATTTGAAGAAAACCAAGTTCATGGTATTTACAAAAGCACAAAACATCAAAGTTAAGCTAGTACTAGATAATACAGAAATTGAACAAATATCTTGTAGAAATACCTTGGAACATAGATCACAGCAGATACTGATCAGACAAAATAAATAAGATGCCTCATTGAAATTGCACGGTCAACTTTTAATAGAATGAGAAAACTTTTTTGTAATCGCGAGAAGAATGCTTTGATGTTATATTTTCTCTACCCTTTTGTATAGGGTTGAAGCTTGGACACTTAAAAAATCAAACATTAAAAACCTAGAAGCATTCGAAATGTGGTGTTACCGACGTATTTTGAACATATCATATCAACTAGGAAAACAATACGAAGTTCCATAAAAATTCTATAAATTCCATAAAAATCAGGAAATTGGAATACTTGTGGCACATCATGAGAGGTGAAAAATACGAACTATTAAGGAACATAATGCAGGGTAAATAGGCAGAAGAAGCGTAGTAACACGTAAAATCTCGTGGCTACGCAATCTCCGTGAATAGTTTGGATGCAGTTCAATTGAACTATTCAGGCGCGTAACCAACAAAATTATAATTGCCAGAATGATTTCCAATCACCGATAGGAGTACCAAGAACGTGCGGCTGGCATTCACTTATCTTGGCATTGAGCCGTTTTTGAGAGCAAATCCAAATCAATAACTGTCCCCAGATCATTCGCGAATACAACAGACATATGGGAGGAGTCGATCTGATGGATGGATTGATGGATCTCTACCATATTAGAGCGAAGACACGTTTGAATGGTTTGAATTTTCTACCACTTGATCTTCATGGCTGTAACAAACGCTTATATTTTGTACCGTAGCATATATACTGAAAAATGCAATGATTTGAACAATATCTTACCGTAACACGAAAAATTGTTGCAGCTACTAGAATTCAGAGAACCAATTGCTACTGCTCTCCTTGTATTCAGTGAAAAAAGTGTACTTGGCCGACCTTCAAGATCAAAATAACAATCGAGCTCACCGCAACCAACTACTTCTGAAATTGGAAAAAATCAAAACAACCCATTGATGACATTCGCTTCGACGGTATTGATCACTTTCCACTTTAGCTCAACAAAGAGAGTGGTAAAAAAAGGAAATTATTAGGATAAAAAAGGATAATATTATGAGGTTTTTTCCCTGGTTTTTCTCTCATAATTTACTATGGAATCACTAACAGGAGAGTTTTAATGTCATCATGGCATATGTTTGTCTTTTTAAAGACGAATTACATACTATGATTTTTTCTGACGGATAATCTCAAGTTAAAGTTGATTTCATGTAATTGAATGAACTATCTTACAAGTAAAGTCCCAGAAACGCAACTCCACAATATTGGCAATAACATTTTAAAGTCGTCTACTTTAAAATGTATAATGTATATCTGGATTGTCCATATCAATGAGTCAGATAAAATTAAATTATTAGAAGAATTTTTTCACCAAGTAACAAAAAAAAAAAAAATTTGTTTAATATACTGTATGTTTGTATTTTGAGAACGATTTCCGAAGTGGAAATTGAAACGTAATTTTACCTTTAATTGTGGCTTATTCCCATTTAAATAGTAATTACTCAATGTGTGTGTAGCAAATGTGATCTTCATTTATGTTGTTCTAATGCCAAAAACTGTTTTATAATTATCACCATAAAAAATAGTGTACAAACATTCTTTTCCGTTTGTTTTTAAGTTTATTTTAATAAAATCCATTCAAATGAATAAAACGCTATTTTTAACTTAAACCGACAAGAGTCATCTGAGGACCCCTTTACCTGTTTTACCTGGAAGCCAAACAAAAATTGATAATTACGTTTTAATAGCTTTTCTAGGTTTCTTAATACATTATTAAACTTGAAAAGAATTCCCAATTAAATAGAAAAAATTTTGGAATCTTGCCAGTTAGAGGGTTAAGAACCTCCGCCGGTGGTATGGAGCTACTACTACCTAGGTCCACTGCGGACAAAGTAATGGTAATGAAACTGATCGCCAATGTTGTTGGAGGATAAGGAATTTAAAAAAGAAGAGTTTTTATACAAAAGCACCATATTCCCAATAATCCCACTTAATAACTATTCTTTCTATTTATTTCATTTCTTTTATATTTATGAGCACAACAAACGCCAGATTTCACTTAGGTATACAAAAAAATATTAAAATAGTGTTAAAATAAAAAAAAATGTTACTTACCACTATCGGTTAGCGTTTCAGTATAGAAAGTAAACATATCACAGAAAACTGATAAAGTTGTATGGTATTCCCTCCAAGCTATAAATGATGATATTTTGGTTTCAAATTGCCCTGTGTTGTTTTTGTTCAAATATGCCCAGAGCCGTTTTAAATATGTACTGCTAAGTCCAAATTTATACAGTAAACTAAAAATGTTTTAAGATTAATATTTGTTCGTTACTTTCAAAAAATTTATGAGTATATGACCCCTTTCCCATATCAGTTGACCCACCTATGGAATTTGCAATTTAAGTTGATTACCATAAACAAATCATACTTTGCATGTTTTTATAAGTTCCCATATTAAGTAATATGGTATTTTTATTAATATTTATTAAAAACATTACCCTTAGAGCTCTTGTTAACGACAACGGTCAAAGGGTCGTTTTTGACACCGTCCCGTTGGCCGTTGCTCAGTGCCTTTCAGGTTCTTATGAATGTTTGTTCACGCAACGGCAACCAACCGTTGGTTAACTTTTCACCGTCTACGTACCCAGTCCCCCTCGGCAAGACGTTCGACGGGACGGTTCCGTGAACCCTCAGTGAACCATTTTAGTTTATGCAAGTGTGTTAACGGCGTTGGACGAGCATCCGTTGTTTCAATAAATTTCTTTCTTTGTTGCCGCTAAAAATGGATTTTGATATGGAGATGTTAATAAGTTATTTCACCAATAATTTTTATTTTATATATAGATTGTATATTCTTAAATAATAAAAAATATATTAAGTTTGTATTTTGTTTTAGTTTTTTTATAACCGAAAGTTTTTTTTCTGTTATACTAATAGCATAATTCATACATACGTAACAGCTAGTCGATCAGCAGGTGCAAGGGATAGCCTCATATTAGTGTCAGCACGTTTTCCTTTATGTACTACTCCTAACAATTTGCGGAAAGTTTCTTGACCTATGCGGAAGTAATTGAAGAATTTTGTTTCGTCTTTTTCCAATTCTTCGTAAAGTGTATGAAAAGCACCATACTTTTCTCTTTCTAAGAAAATAGGATGTATCCATATTTTTCTTTTACCCTTCTCCCGTTGCTTCTGCATTTTTTATACAAACAGTAGGCTAGTATATTTTTTTTCTTTGACGACATGATATAACATGTATTGAGTGCACTTGTTACTTTAAAACTGACGATATTTCGGAGATTCCATACTGTCAACGGACGCATATCCCTTGAAAATTATGAACTGTCAACACGGGTACCCGTTTAGCATCGGCCCGTTACCCGTCGAAAAAAACGTTCGTTAACAAGAGCCCTTATGGTTTCTTATTTATAAAATAAAAAAAATTCACTAAACCCTAGCTATGCATTTCCTTATGTCAACATACGTTGATTTTTTCATAATTACGTTAAATCCAGAGGTAGCTATGGAAAAATGACATCAAAACAATAATACTGTCAGTTAATATCAAATGTATTGTGTAGTAGTGTAAAGCTTTTTGCCGTTTGTGGATTGTACAATGGGTCGAGGTAAAGTTCGATGAGAAAATTTGTTCAATCATTATTAGATTTTTTAATTCTAAAAAATTCAATTCGGAAATCGCGAATATGTTGCAATTGTCACGCTATAGTGTAAGAAATATAGTCAGAATATACAAAACTACAAGTTCGGTCGTCACAAAAAATAGAAATGTACGAAAAAGTAAAATAACAGAAGCAGATCGAAGGGCATTAAGACGCATTATAGTGAAAAATCGACGAGCAAATTATATGGAGTTAAGCGTTTTATGGAGTGACGTTATTGGAAGACACGTTTCTATATCAACATGTCACCGAGAGGCCCACAAATTAGGATATGGTACTTACAAAGTAAGTTTTGTAGTTGAAAAAATTAGTACGAATTGTTTTTAATAAATTTCATTTTATTTTAGGCTAAGTAAAAGATACTTTTAACATTACAACAAAGAAAAATAGACTAAGATGGTCAAAAGAGCTAAAATATTGGAGTCAGTCGCAATGGTAGTTAATACAATGGAGTGATGAGTCCAGATTTGAAGTGTGTCTTGGAGACAGTAGGAGTCACGTCATTAGCAGGAAAAATGAAGCTTTCCATCCAGACTGTCTAAGAGGTAAACTGACTAACTTGGTAAAAACTATGCCTCGAAGAATTGTCTAGCTTTCACATTTTTTTTTGTTAGTATTATATATTCTATGCGTTTTTTAAAATTTGTTATTATTCTATTTAATCAATAGTTTTCATTACGTTATAAAATATTTTCTATAATTAGGAAATTCAAAAATATTGTTCGATGCATTAAACCTTCTTAAACTGCGCTTTTATTTTTGTTCTTTAAAATTTTATTTTTTTATCATTCTAACGTTGGGCCAACTGATATGGGATGGGGCTCGTATACTAAGCAACCTAATTATGGTAACTACCACAACTATGATCGAAATCACTACAGAACTAACACAGAACCGTAAGTGAAGGCTATCTCAGAGTAGATTTTAGTTTTTAAATCAATAAAACTCGGCGTAAGAACCTCTTAAAAAAACATGTATTACTAAAATAAACACATAGAACATGCGGATTTTACTTCTTGACACATGTCGGTTAGATATTGACTATCTCACTCGGAGCACTCTTGAAATCTGAATAGCAAACTGAAAAAGAGGCGCTCACATATATCCACTGAAATGTTGTTGATAGCGTTGCGGCTGTTTTACTTCAGCTCTTCGGTGGTGGCTGGTAGGTTAGCGTAGACGATATTCTCTAAATACCGCCAGAGAAAAAATCTAAAGGAGTAAGGTCTGGAGATCTTGGGGGCAAACGAATATCATCAGTTTGTCAAATTAGTGTGTCTCGAGAGATTTCTGTCAGGGCGTTTATTAAAGTGTTCGCTGTGTATGATGTAGCACCGTCTTGCTGGAACCATGTGTTGCCCAAATTATACCTTGGAAAATTAAAAAACTGCCAATTGCGCAGTTAGCGTGTAGCGATGTAGCACCGTCTTGCTGGAACCATGTGTTGCCCAAATTATACCTTGGAAAATTAAAAAAAGATCTCCAGAAATCTTTCAGCTACACCTGATTTTTTACTCAACATGACGCTGGCACCGTCACTTGCAAATAAAACAAAATTTTCTTTCATGTAATCATCAATTCCGCTCATTTTCAAACAGCTTAGCAAACTTTTAACAATTACCTGAGATTTTTGACTGCTCAGTTCAATCAACTCTAAGAACAAAAAATAAAAATTCTGCTCTTTGCTGAACTCACATTTTAAATACACTATTGGATTAAATTTTAAGCATACAGCTGTTGACTCGTATACAATAACTGATATTTTATCCGAAATGTTTAAAATTGACTTGATAATCTTTGTTTTCATTTCACTTGAAACGAGATCAATTATGTCTGCAGCAGTATTTCTAGATTCTGTATTTATGATTTCTGTAGCCCGATTCCAATATCAACATTGTTCATTCTTTGCAATTCTGCAATTCAGGTTAAAGAAGTCTGAGTGAGGCTTATTGCTCTTGGCTAGATAGTAAGCAGTTCTGAAAACAACTTTTGTTGTTTCGAGGTGCGAAACGTTCATGGCATCTGTGACTTTTTCAATAGTTTGGGATTTGCTTACTTCGACAAGGCCTTGTGCAGCCTTGGTTTTATCATTGAAAGTAACTTTGTAAGAACACCATTCTTTTGAAATGCTGAAATGTCTTATTAGCACCCAAGTGAGACACTGGTTTACAACTACTACAGCCAAGTTTTCCTTCCTTATAATCAATCCAAGGAAAAGCTTCTTTTTTCGCTCCTACATTTTTTGGTTCCAAATAGATGGCCATTTTAAATCAGTGACCATAAGTATATCAGACTCATCCGGTTTACGACAACGTTCAATTGAATAAGACTGATGATGATGAAGAAGAAAAAACAGAAGTTGGTTCTCTTTTCCCTGTTGTATATATTCCACTTTCTATATTTGTTAATATGTACCTACCGCCTAAAGCATTTATCTAAAATAAACATAAAATATGGCATAGTATAAGCGAATTACTGTGATTTCTTCACCACAATTCACCGCGTCAACACAGTTGACGCAGACTAGTACAGAACTGCCTGGTAAACAGACAGAAATACAATGGGGCGAGTGGCCGTGTTCGGACGATGTGGGGTGAGAGAGTTTCTTAGAAGTACAGTCTAATTTTCACGCCGTGGCCGTATACTCTGGTTTTCGTGCATTATGCAGTAGTAGGCTTACAACGCTTCACCCGGAGGGCGGAGTGACACCATGACACAACTGCTTTCGATGTTGGGAAGAGTTCATGATACTATGAACTAAAGATAAACCCACGCGCACGCGATCAGTCTATCTCTTTTGCACGTGTAACGTCACTTGGCGACTAATATCACCAGAAATGTTCTGTTTTGCATGGAGTTTATTGTCAGATTTAGTACTGTTTTATCGTTTATCTAGTACGTTGACCCATAAGTGTGTGCACTTTATAAAATATATTTCAGAATATTAAATTAGATAAATTTTTATCGCCAAGTGACGTCATGCGCATCAACGTACAAAATTCGATTGCGAAGTGGTTTTATCTTGGAAGTCATAGTATCATCGGAAGAGTTGGAATAGTTTTCCTGGATGTATCACATCTGTAATAACTCCGTCTTCTCTACATTTCGTTACCCGAGCGTTCACTAACATCGCGGATTGTGCATCAACCACCGCCGAAGTACAGCTTCCATGGAATACAGCATCGGCGTAAGGTAAGTTTAAATATTAAAATCTACTCTGAGACACCTTATACTTGTTTTAAGTTTACGAAATACGGGCAAAAAAATAGGTACTTACAGATATTTCCTCATAGAATCTTTGTAAACCAGTAACAAGTTGTGACACAAATTGGTAAAAGCCATCAACACACTTTCATCATGGTTATGTTTCAAAAAGAAATTAATCCATTTTCTAACCTTATCAGATCTGTTTAATATTTTCAAATATTCCGAAAGTAGCAATCGTTTTTCTGTACTTACTGGATCTTCTTCCTCCTCGTCATCGCTATCTTCAACTGTTAAATCACAGGTCGGTTTTAGCTCATATAAATTAGCACTTAGCTTCGACAACACTTGTATGCTGTCACTGTTGGGTTCTACAAAAAAATTTTTAAATCCAAATGGTGATTCTCAGCTACTACTAAAAAAACTTGCATACGAGATCCAGTGTTTTTCGTAGCAGAAAATGTATGAAAACTATGTGGTTAAACGGCACCCATACATGTAAAATAGATATAGTACATTTTATTATAACTGGAAAAACGCTTACCATAATCATCAGGTTCCAATTCCAGCGTACAATAAAGCAAACTGTGACTTTTTCCGAAATGAAATCCGGTATTTAGATACCGGATTAATTTTTCAAATGGAAATTCTTTTCGTTGATTTCTTATGTATGGAACAAGAATATGCTTAACGTTATGAGTCAATGATGGTATCAAGAAATTGGTACAAAATTCTGAGAGCACCAGATTACTTAAATAGTCACTTTCATGTATAAATTTGAATGGTTTTTGAATGAGAACAATGGTTTCTTGTAAATAGTTGTTGCTACTCTCCAAGAGTCTTTTAAGATGGCCATAATAATCTGAAAATATATTCGAATATTAAAACAATATAGACACAATAAATAAATAAATAAATAAATGTTTATTATTTCCAGTGGGGTCAAATATGTCCACATTTTTTTATGCTTTCTCAATATGACCATGGACCGTGTCACACTCCATCATCAAATGGCCAAGTTCAAAAAGAAATGGTCAATTTTTGGAATCTCTTAATGTTTGAACAGCTTACAGCAGCAGCAGATACATTTACGTTGCGGTTTTGATCACCACACGTCTCGCTTATTCTTAATCGTCAAAAATATATCCTCACATTGTTCATATCCTGGTTTAATAGGTTCACTGGTACAAACATGGGAGGCACTATCTGAATGTCACTTGTTGTGATGAGAGCGCTAAATTATGACTATGTGTTTCATCACCTCGTACCGGTTTGTTAAAAGCTAACAAAACTAACTTCTTTCCTCTTGAATACATTATTGTGTAATAATAAAATTATAAAACAGTATTATAACGATAATTATACCAATCTCTACAACAATTAACTTAAAACTAATTCACGTATTTACGTCTTCACAGTGAACTGCAACGGACCACCCTGTTAAATATAATAAACAAATTATCAAATGGTTCACGTGTTTCACAACTGTAACAGAACTGCAAATACAACGGACCACCCTGCTAAACATAATAACATAATAACTTGCTACCTGCAATCGCCATTCAGTGCAATAAAAGTAATGCCACAAAAATGTAACTCAATATCAGCTTATTATAGTACGAAAATAAGTATCACAGAAATATAACAGTACTTACATTTCTGTGACACTTGCTTAGAAGATTGCTTAGAAATGTAGTTACGAAAATTCCTTACTGGGGTTTTAGGTGTTCAGAGAGATACAATTGTGTGTCACATAATAGAACTCACTAAAGTAAGTTCAATGGTGTAGATGTCTCAAAACGGGAAAAATGTAGTTACATTTTTGTGTTACTAAGCCAACGAATTGCCCTTCTCCATCTAAAAATGCCGAGTGGATTTAGGTCAGTTATCATCAAATGAAAAACAATGAATACATTTTTTGTATGTCGGAAAATTTAAACACTGTTGTTGCGTTCTTTAAGCTTTAATGTAGTTCGTAGACAACTCACCACGCACCGCCACTTATCCTTCGGTGCACCCTAAATACGATCATCTCTCTCTGTCTCTCCCATTTAACAACACATGTAGCATTAAATCCAATTTAATCTACTTTTAGATAAAATAATATTACTTACCTTTGGATACAAGATAACTGAAAGTATGAGCATCAACTGTAAAAACATACAAGCATTTCATCAACACCATACTGTCTTGGTTGTCTTTAGTATTTTTCAGACATAAAAGCAGAAACCGTTTAATCAACCATGCAAACGATTTATCCGCATTTATTTGTTGAATGACGTCTGCTTGAATATTTAAAAGTCTTTCTGCAATGCGAAGCTGAAAATCAAGAATTTGTAAAAATGGTGCTTACAAAAAAGAGAAACGGGGCTCAAAACAATTATATTAACATTGATATATTGTTCTAATTAAAAAAGACACCCCTGTAAAGAAAATATTAATATCAAAAAGAAAAATTTCAGATATAAAAATAATAAAATGAAAGGAACACTAACGACAGAATACACAACTCTAATAAATTATGGAACAAATAGTATAACAGAACAAACGAAATTCTAATCCGATCAGTAAAAAGGATAAAGAAAAGAATCTCTTGTAGTATGATATCTAATTTGTTGTAATTCACTATGTATTGTTACAAATTGTAACATTTAATAAACCTCCAGTACGTTATGCAGTGAAAGAACTTACAAAAACACATGATATTGATGTTGTGCGTCTTCTTTCCAACCACTGTCAACTAAACCCTATTGAACTGATATGAACATAAGTTAAAAGACTCATATAGTTCGACATAATACGACATTTAAATTAAAGGATAGTCAAACATTGTAAGAAATTTTCCCATTATATCTGACAAAGGAAAATTGACAAACGGCGATTAAACATGCGTTAAATGAAGAAAAAATGTGGAATTTGGTCAAAATTTGGGACCTGTAATAATATCAGTAAATAATGACTCATTAATAGACTATTGATTGTTCAAAAAATAGGACTAAAAGGAACTACAACGTTAAAAGAGTTTCATTGTTTATATCGTCAATTGACCCACAAATAAGAAAAAACCGCGAAGTGCTACCATACTTAATATAGAACAAGATTGCTGAGATTTTAGCTTCAAAGTTTAAAAAACAGAATCATGAACTACCTCCAATTTGTACGCCCGCTTAAAACAAAATCATGGTGTATCTTTTAATTAAAACTTTAAATATAGTACATATGCTTTAAGGGTAAAATTATGAGTACTTCTTAAACTTACAAGCCTTTCTCGATCTTCTTTTGGGTAGTAAAAGAACAGTAACTTTGATAAAATAACTTGTATTCCTGCTGTGGTTTCAATTTCATCAAACAGTTGTCTTTCTTGGTCTTTTTTATGTTTTCTTACAATATAACTACGGATGTGAGATTGCAGCAATTCAGCACTTTGTAATTTGAGTCTTTGCTCCTAAAAATTATAAAATATGAATTTCAGAGGTAAAATAAATATCAAAGATCTGGAATAAAAAACAAATAAAAATAATAAACAAAGTGTGTAGTTAATACTTTATTTAATTATCAAATCAATTCAACAATTGAATTCAAGGAATCTATAACTGAATTAAACCAGTAAACTTCAAATATTTGGTTCAAATATTTAAACGACGTACTGGTATGTTTCACAGGAACTAACAGGCAACTCGATCAATTTTTATCGTATATTAATTCACTTCATAGTCATATTGAATTTACAATAGAAACAGAACAAAATCAATCCATAAACTTTTTAGATTCAAAAATTATCAGATTTAAAAACAAACATGACTTCTCCATATTTCATAAACCTACCCATACTGACACGACTATACACTATTCATCATCCCATCCAACACAACATAAACTGGCAGCCTATCATAATATGTTACATAGATTAACAGAAATTCCGATGTCAAAATACAACTTTGAGACAGAATTAAATATCATCAAGCAAATAGCAGTAAACAACGGATACAACGAACAAACAATTAATAAAATGTTAAATCAAAAACTACAAAAGAACGCCCTGAAATTAGTATTTCCACCACCAGAGAAAAAACCCAGTACCTTCTGCTCAATTACATACAAAGAAAGGAATAACACCAGCTTTCCGAACAAATAACAACCCAGGCAAATATATCAAAAACAACAAGAGCCAATGATTACACAGTGGTGTGTACAAACTTAAATGTGGGGACTGCCCAAAAACTTACATCGGTCAAACTGATAGAAACTTTAATAAACGAATAGCAGAACATAAAAGGGCTTTCAATAATAGAAAAACAGATTCTACATACGCACTTCACCTTCTAGATCACAATCATTCTTTTAATGATGAATTTAAAATTCTTCACATTCAAAATAAAGGCCTTAAACTATCCTTGTTAGAATCTATGGAAATCAACAAAATAAAAAACACAGATATAATTCTGAATGACCAACTGGAGACAAACAGTTCTCCCCTCCTCAATATATTTCATTAGAGACTATAAAATGTAAATGCATGCTAAAAATAGATCACTTGAGAAAGGCAATCAGCTGAAACAGCTGTAGTGATAAGTTAAAATAAATTTTGTGGAAGTTTGAAAACAAAGTTTTCAGTGTTTAATAGTTACATAAAATGAATTTCCATCAAGTTATGGTCGAATCCATCAATTATTTAAGACTAATTATTTACAGCCAAAAAGTATTTTTTCTTATGAAAGGAAAAACAGTTATTTTAAAACTTATGTATTAACAATACTGACAGGTTAAAAATATCTATTTTCAGATAACTTGTTCTATAAAAACTAAATCCCAAATTATATTAAATCTTTATGTAACCTTCCGGGTCAATTGTCTTATCATATTGCCCCCCCGTAATTCCCAACTTTTACTAAGGTAGTGAATTTCAATCCTTTTTCTAATCACTGTACTCAAGGTAGCCTGATTTAAATATTTTTATTATAGTCCTTTTGTTTTGAATTTAAATAAAAATAATGAAAGTTTTACAAATAATTTTTCTACCTTGTTATGACATTGTCATTACAAAGCGAAGCAATTGTGGCTATCAGAAACATGACGTACAGAGATAGAAAGATTAAATTGCCGCTAGCAATAAGCCATTTTATTAGGTACCTATTTATTCTAGGTAGCTATCTGATTTCTTGGAATCTATTAAACGTAAAGTTTATTACCATACTAAACCCAAATGTGAAGTGGACAGATATAAAAACTCTGAAATGTAGAAAAGATAGTCTGTACACAATTTTCTTTAAGTACAACATACAACTATGATGATGAACTATGGAATTATTTTAATCTAAAAAAATCATCAGGTACTACACATAATATACGAGAAATGCTACTTAAACCTGCCTACAAAGAACAGCCAAAAATTCAAATGGCCAAAAAGAAAGATTTGGTATACTTATGCCATTCAGGGCCCTGATTCTAATTGAGATTTCGACTGAAAACATGTTGAAATCAATATGGCGTCGTCGAAATGCGACTTTGCGAGCCTTGTGGAGTTCAGCTGAACTAACCAAAGGACGTCACTACTTTTCGATTTATCGAAATTAATTTCAACTTGAAGAAAGTGGTTGAAATTTAATTTCGAGTCGAAATTAATCTGACATGACTCAAGGACACTAAACACAGATAGAATTGATTTTGTCCTATGCTTTAATGTAAGAAATGCGTTGTATTGAGTGTGACGTAGCGTGTGGATTCGTGGTTGACATTTTGGATTATTTATATAGAATAGTTATGCCTGCTGCCAATTTTTTTGTTGTACTAGCGATTTAACGGCCTTATATGACTATTTAATTATTGTTTCTATATAAATTTACTTGTATAAACAAAATGGGTGGTAATAGGTGTGCCATATATGGTTGTAACAATAATTTTAAGAGTGTGAAAACCAAGAATATGCCTGTTATTTTTCAGAGTTTTCCAAAAGGAAAGGATTTAGTGTTGAAACCTTTAAGGGCTTAAGTGGTTAACCGATCCAGAAGAGCTGATAATATTGCTGGTGACAATATAGATTTAAAGGCTGAAGTAGATTTTGAAACAAAATATAAGGAATTATTAAAGTATAAAAGGTAATTTCACATACAAAGTTAGTGAACATAGTTATAGTTTACCATCATGCGTGCAGCAACTCTCTTATGGAGGTCTTACCAAGCCTACAGATGAGTGGTTCATAAAAATAAAATTTGGAATAAATATGAAAAATATATTGACACCTATAGGAAAAATAATGGAGTTGTTGGAAACATTTTAAAAAGGATTTTAAAAATAGAAAAAGTGTTCCCATATGAGCTTATTAAAGACTTTTGTAAACTCATAACAATAATTAGAATAAATTATAGAAATTTAAAATCCAAGGAAGCTGAAAATTTGAAGCGAAAAAACTTATCCCTGTTGGATTCAACTAGGTTAAAAATTAGAAAATTAAATAAAATTGTTCCACAGGGAATGTTTCTAAAGTTTCCTAGTATTGTATACTGTTTAGTTTTATCTATGTATGTTTATGAAATAAATAGTTCAGTATTGAACAGTTTTATTTTATCATCAAATGTTTTTGAACATTAATTTGTGCTCTGACTACATAAGTAAAACACGGATTTATAGATTTTATTTACCAGCAATATTTACTTTGAGAGTAAACTGGCATTAATAATTTAATTATAACACTAACAAATGCATTCATTTGGAAGATAAATTTTATTTGCCATGTAAAACAGATCATTCAGAATTCATAAGTCTGAATGTTTTAGGTACTGTTAAAAATCTTATTATCTGCCATTTATTTACAAAAACAAAACGTAAATTTTTCGTTTTAAACTTTTTAATCCCAAATTAGACTCATCTTCCATAAAAACTAATAGTAACAATAAGATCGATAATTGTCCACACGTCACAGCCACGTGTTGCAGTGACATGGAACTATCCTATGTAGTCAACCGTTCTTGTTACCAATCTAGGTGTAATTCAGAGATATGTAAGAGACTCTCTTACATATCACTGGTGTATTTTTATCTATGCCAATAAACAAGAGGGCCAACCCAAATTCTCAGCAGTGTCAATATGATAAAGTAAATATCCCCACTTTTAACTAAAATCGAAAAAATGAGAATCGCTAGCAATTGCGACTGTTATGGCGTAGTCGCTTTTAAATTTCGACATCGAAATGAAATAGAATCAGGGCCCAGGTATGATACAAGAAGCCCCCATAGTTTTTATAAAAATATTTTGGCCCAAGATTATATACAAGAAGAGGACAACAACTAACAGAAAATGTGTCTACACTTTTTACAATTTTCTCTGTGCAAAAGTGTTGTAACTTTGAAATTCCTAAATTTTTTAGCATCAATATTATTTTATTTAAATTTCTATCTTTGGTTAATGTAATATAGGCCGAAAAGTATGCAAAATCATAATTAAATGTTAATTTTTCTTAAAACTTGTGTCTTATTTCACTGATATTAGTATGAAAATAAACAAAATCATCTTTATCTCAAAACTTACTTATTCTGACTTACTGCAGTCTTGCACTGAGGGTGCAGTATTACAAGAGCATTTCAATATATAAACAAATGTTTTTACCTAGTTGTAAGTGGTTTTCTACATGTAAGCAGAAACTAGTCTTAAGTGGTTTTCTGCATGTGCAAGTAAGTATTATTACCACATGTTTTTTAATAACATAAAAAATTTCACCCCCATTTTGTTTTAACCTAAAGTTAACTTACTTCCAGATATCACTGACAATGATATAATATGATTAACAATGTTCTTTGAAGTTACCTAACCCTTTTGTATAAATTTATTGCAAATTTAAATATAGCAACTACAAAAAAGAAGTCTTTATACTTCCTTTTGAATAACACGAAGACTAAGAAACAGATGGTTGGATGGCATGGAGTACAAGAATATAAAAGGATGGTAGCAACTGCATAATTATTCTTAATATTATCTACCTTTTCATTTTTATTACACATTTTAGCTGAAGAATTGGTCAAGACTTTGTAGTTTGCAAAAGTCTGTACAGGCAGTAATAAAAACAAACATTCCAATAATTTAAATTACCATTTTAATAAATATTAAACATAAAAAATGATAAATTATTGGCACTTTATAACTATGTGCTAATATACTTACTTGCCGCTTTCTTCTTTCTTCGTGAGTCTTCTGTAACAACACATCCTTTGTTAATTTTTTACTAGATCCAGATAAATTCTGTTCAGGCTTAGTCCTAGAAATGCCTTCAAAACTGTAATTTAACTTAAAAGCTAAAAAATTTAAAACATTTGAATTAAACAATTAACAAACTAACGGTTACTGTAAAACGATCAAACCTACATTCATATACTATTAAATATTACAATATATGTAGAATTAATTAAATACTTATTCTTACCCATGTTTCCTTATTCTGATTTTTTCCTTAGATGATTCTGACTTTCTTGATTCACTTGTCAAATAAAAAGTCCTTTCAAATAATAAACTTATTTTTATATTTTTTGTTATATTACTTATTTAATACAAATATCTTAAATTTTATATAAAGATTACAATACACGCACAATAATAAAGAAATCAATAAATTCCGTTTTCACTTTCACATAAATCTCACTTGACTTAACAGCTGACTTTTGACAAATCATCTTGTCATGCCATGTCCTTCATCTAATTCAGTCCCCTTTGGACCCTCTGTAAAGTTGATTGCCTATATAAAGCACAAGACAAGAAGTATTTGTTTTATTTGTTTCCATGGAGTACGGGAGTACCTGTATGTGTCCCCAGAATCTCTGTAGTCTCCCAAATTTTTATAGTTTTTTTTTCGATTATCGAAGCGTATCGAGCTTCTTCAATGTTTACTTTTCTTTTTCTTTCATCTTAGAATCCTAATTGATAAAATAATTTCTGCCCATTTTCTAAAGAGTGATGATTGTGATTCTCTTAAAAAAGTGTGATTCTTTACAAAAAAAGTGACGTTATGGGAATAACGGAGATAAAAGAATTCTTATACTTAATAGGTACGTGTTTGTTAGTACCCACTAGATGCTTGTTTAACCAGGGCATGGTATTAACAGTGCTACTGTAAATACATCGAGCAAAAAGACAGTCTTTTTGCTCGATGCGTAAACCACTCGTCTTCCCAATCACTCCTTTCAAAAACACAAATTACATTCGTAGACTGATGTCCGCTCTTGGCCAAACTTTCTCCTGGTAAGGGAGAGCCCATACCCTGAAGAGTTGCTCTGCCTGAACAATGTTTAAATAACGTTAGTCTCTCTCTTATTACGCATCATGTGGTTTAAATACACCGGTTTTGTAGATTTTATTGACAAGATGTCTGGTTCAATACATGATTGTGTTGTAATGGTCGAAAATATTCCAAGCATACAGCAATAGAATCAAATGATTTCATTTATAATGATTTCAGGTAATTAAATGAGCGATCGTTCAAATTCCAGGACTCGGTGCCATGTAAAAGGACAGAGAAGACAATCGAAGGATCTCCAACTGTTCTTTAAATCGCATGGTAAAATGTGTCTTTCTGATCAGATCTTATTGTACTTCTACCTTTCTTTATTCGAATTTCGATTTACTGAGTTGGATATCATTCGTCATTAGATTATAACTTTACAGAACTTTTTAAAGCGTAGCTTTTCATTGTGAGACTTTCACATGGACGAATTGGTGTACCCTCAAATTATGAAATTGGCTGGACCCTGGTCTTCCTGGCCTTTCGGCATACGACCGTAAGCGACTCCACTGCCACTACGAGTCCGACACCAACTAAGGCGGCACGATGCCGAAACACCGTGGGGCTCCACCTTACCCGTAGTACCTGTGTTGCGAGTACGTCACCCGTCCGAAGATCCCCGCCCTCTCCCCTCTCCTCCCGCCCCCGGGGGCGGAAAGATAACACAGGCGGAGGGATTCCAACTCGCACGTAGACAGGTCACCGCCGAGGATCACTCCCCTACCACTCTTAAATCAGTCCAGGTAGGTACGTGCCGGGACACCGACATCATCCTCGGTGGTGTAAGGCCGTGGGAGGTATTTACGGGCCCAGCTCGTTCAACCTCACTTGGCTCTTGTGGAATGAGAGTAGAGTGGTCCCACGAGATGCTTTGAGTATTTCTACAGATCCGACACCTCGAACGACGGCTCTCCACCTCTCATTATTTACCCATAAGTCGCCTCTTACGACAAGCAGGGTCTTCTGGCCTCGGCCCTATTCTTATCTCCGCGAACCGAACGGAGTGAGACTCCCACAGAGATGTATAAAAGCAGAAAACATGTCGTTTAACCTAAAATATTATCATCATCATATGTGGCTCGACAATCCGTTGTGGATATTGGCCTGCTCATAAAGAAGGCGCCGCTCCTGTAGATTCCTCCAACTTTCCTCCTTCTTCTGACCTTTAGAATATGTAGGTCTTCCTCCACATCATCAATCTATCACCTTCATGTTCATCCTCTGCTTCTTGTGCCCTCTGGTTTTGAAAATATTAATCTCTTCGTATATTCGTGATCTGACATCCTAGCAATGTGTGCAGTCCATCTAAGTCTCTGCACTTTAACTTAATTTCACAATATCTGGATCGGTGTATAACTGATATAGTTCAAAGCTGTATCTTCGACGCCATAGCCCATTTTCATTTGCGGCCCTAAAAATCTTTATAAGAATTTTTATCTCAAAAATACCAAGAAGTCTTTCATCATTTTGAGATAAAGTCCATGAGACCGTGAACAGTTCTGTTTGCTACAGCTATGCGTCCTTTTATTTCGTCGCTTGTCGAATTTGTTGCGTTTACTAGCGATCCGTGATATGTGAATTCTTTAACTTGCTCAAAGGTATGGTTATTAATTTTTATAAACCGACATATTTTGGTTTTTTCCGCGTTTACCAAGTCCTAATTCACTTGTCGCGTCCGCAAACCTTGTAAAACACTGTATCTCATACTTCGTCACGAGTTTCTTTTTCTCTTGAAAATACAATCATTACTCCTGAAAAAGTTAAACATCATCTTCAAAGCCTAAAAAATAATTCGTCTCCGACTTAATATCTTCTTTATTTTTAAAGAAATGTTCTGATGCTTTAGCTTACCCAGTATATGTGATTATGTCCTTATCATTCACCACACATATTTTGCCTCCTATATGGAAAACCGCATCTATAACACCGACTTTTTAAAAAGGGAACAAATTGGATCCTAATAACTATCGTCCTATCAGCTTAACACCTATGGCTTCGGGCCCAGATGGAATACTTGTAGAAATGTTGAAGGAGGGGTGTAAAATTATTCTCGAAGAATTGAAAAATTTTTCAACGAATATCTCCACAGAGGAGAAGTCCGGATTGGAATGAAAGTTTGACAAAACATCTCTTCAAAAAGGGAGACAGGGGAGATCTGAAGAACTATAGGCTAATCTCCCTGCTGTCCCAAATGTACAAACTGTTTATGATAGTAATAACTAACAGGTTAACGTCGAAGATCGATAGCTATCAACCGATGAAGCAGGAAGGATTCCTAAATGGTTACGGTACAGCGGATCATCTTCTTACAGTCAGAACGCTAATAGCAAAAGCCAATGAATATCACTTAAACTTATATAGATTCGCTTCGTTGTTTATGAAAAGGCATTCGACTTCATACAACTTTGGGCAATAGAGAAAGCTATGAACATCTGCAGGATAGACTCCTAATACAGAATGCTCACACATAATATTTACAAAAAAGCTACAATGAAAATACAAATAGATGCCAAAACCAAAGCTATACCAATCAACGAAGGAGTTTGCCAGGTAGATGTTATCTCACCAAAGCTATTCTCACTTGGACTGGAAGGCGTGTTCAAAGACATTAACTGGACAGATAAAGGAATAAATGTTAATGGAAAAAAACTGACTCATTTGAGATGCCATTGTAATATTCACTACAAGTTTCGAAGAACTACAGACCATGATGAGGCAGCTATTTCAAGCTTCGGAAAAGTAGGTCTTAAGATGAACTTGGAAAAAACAAAAATAATGACAAAGATACCGAACACTAGAGAAATAACGTTGAACATCTACCTAGAACAGATAATAAATGTTAACAAAGAAAATCAAACTGCCGAAATTACCAGAAGAATAAGTTAGCGTGGGCAAGATTTGGAAAACTGAGTTGTATCTTGAAAAGCACTAAAATAGAACAATATTTGAAAACTAGAATTTACGATCAGTGTGTCCTCACTATACTCACGTATGGTTCACAGACGTGGACACTCATCAAGTCTCATATGGATAGTAAAAGCACAAAGAGTGATGGAAAGATCAATGCTCGGGGTGAGACTTATAGACAAAAAAAAACAAATGGATTAGAAGCAAAACCAAAGTCAAAGACGCAGGAGAACATGCTGCCAAATTAAAATGGAGCTTCGCAGGACACAATGCGCGACTGAAGGATAAAAGGTGGAACCACTAAATACAACAATGGAGACCATGGTTAGGAAAGAGAAGCAGAGGAAGACCATAAATGAAATCGAGTGATGGCATTAAGAAGATCGGAGTACACAACTGAAAGCAAGTGGCGCAAAATAGAAAACACTGGATTGATTTGGCGGAGGGCTATGTCCAAAGTTGGATTACATAAGGCTGAAGAAGAAGAAAGAAGTACATTTAACACTAATTTTCTTTTTATTGTAGTTGAGTGTAATTGGTATAAAACTGTACTATTGTTTTTTGTATTTTTGTTTGCTTATTCTAAGTATGTCGGTCTTTTTACAATTATGTGTACTCGGTTTAAAATTTTTCGTAAGTATTATTCTCTGGCATTATTCGCTGATAGTACGGTTTTGTCTTTATATCTGAAGTTGATCATACTTAATTGATTTTGCCACTGATTTATATAACATTTGTTAAATCTTATAGATCACGACTTCTCTGAATAATTTCAACGAATAGTTAAACTGTAAAGTTGTAGTGTACAATTCTGTCCGATTTCCCCCTTTAAGCGAAATTTTGTCGTTGAATTTCTTGTAAAATATTAACCGAATATCTTTGTCATTTCTTTCAGATTTTTCCAGTATCTGTGTTTTATTTTGTTTTTTAAATTGTTCCTTTTTTAACCTCAAAAAACAACGTGTAAACATTGCAGTTAGTATTCGGATCAGTACTTGTATGAAGTTCAATGCTGAATTAAACTATATTCAGCGAAATCTTCATAGTCCATTAGACTAATTATTCTTACATTGCTGCTTTTATCCAGATCCAGTTGTCTTATGTTTGAGTCTTT